ACCCCTACTTGTAATGTGATTATTTTTCATACTAAATTCAAAATCTGAGTAACTACAGCCTGAAAACTCCCCAAAATTAAGCTCAAACTGATATCAGTAAATGCAGACTTATCTGCTGATATCTTATCGGCCGATATTCAGCTGATCTGTCAGTGCATCCCTAGCACCGATCGTCTGTCAGTGGCGTTTACATAAGCAAATTTCTTGAAAATGATGGTAGTGAGCACTAGGCTAAAATATCAGGGCTTGAGTGACTAAAGCATAAATGCAGACTGATGGAGGCCGACAGTGCTGAATTAAAATAGACATTCAAATGACTCCTGGAACACCGCTATTCTAAACCAAGCAGAAATGGGGCACGCAGATAAGCACACATAAAGATGCATGTGCACCGTTTACTGATCGGGGAGTGTTTTCAGTGCGTTTTCTCTGAATTTTCTCCCCCTAGAATGCCTACACAGTCAGGAAGTGATGTGGAAGTCCAGAAGTTTGCTGTTGCTTTTGGAAATGACATCACCGTGGGGGCAGTTGTGGTGCCTTCCCACTTAAAAGATTTCTGCTCTCAGTCATAGCGAGCCGCTGTGTCTCATTCAGAGACATAGCGAGCCGCTGTGTCTCATTCAGAGACGGCGCTCCTGCTTCTGCTTCTGTCACGAGCAGAAGGCAGCCAAAGTCAATGAGACTTATTTTGATGACGAAGCAGTAACTGCTAAACGCTGCTTTACAGCCACGGCTCCTGGATGCAGGCTGGAATGACCAAATGTGAGGAAGAAAGATGGACTCCTTCTCTGCAATCCCTGAAAGCTATACTAGCCAGAACTCAGCTGTTGAATGATTCGCGCGCCCCCCCTGCACCCACCACCGTCTCCTCCTCCCGTTTGACTTTCGCCTTCACCTCCAACTCTCCGCCCCTCTGCCTTCACACCTCACGTCGGCCTTGGCTGCAATGACAGGCCCTTCAATTATCTCCCCCGATTGATCGCTGCTGATTGCAGTTGCCGTGAATTATTTAGACTTTGCTGAAATTACTCGCTAAACGGGGACGGAAGGCTGAAAGAGCGAGATACCACGGGTCAAATAAATTACCCACACGAAGCGTCGGCCCCTTTCGAAAACAACCGCCGCCGAGGCCCAGCGTGCAGATCAATGAAGCGGAGGAGGGAAACGGCATCAAGCTAGCCTGTAGTGTGGTAACACCAAGTCTCCACTGTGCCGCTCCTCTGGTACGTTAAGTAAAGACCGAGGAGATGTAGCGTGGAGCAGCAGACCTCCTGGGTGA